TTTTTTTTTTTTCGTTAAAACGCATGCTTGAAAGTTTGTTTAAATCAAAGAAATAGAGATTACTTAAACTTAATAAGTAGAAAAAGTTATGATTTTCAATGACTTCTTTAGTTGTTGAGAATGTTTTGTTTTTCAGTTTACTGTTCTACTTCACTTATCCTTCTATGTAAATTTAGTTTTCTTTAGAACTTTTTTTACTTTGGTATTGATTTTTCAAGTCTAATGTGTTACTATAACCGATATATGCAGAAGTTCATTTTACTGTTGAGAATAAGAGCTAAATATTTTTGTCTGTTACTTACCCTACAACGGCGCCAGAATTTCGGACATACATAGTTTCGTCCAAATCGTTCGTTGAACCCTCTAAACAGTCAGGTGGATACAACTGTTGAGCAGTCATTGACATCATTCTCGGCTGTAATAACTGGTCTGGTGGACATTCGTTTTCTGGTCTAAAAATAAAGGTTACTAAAAAAAAACAAATTTGATGCGATATTTTTAGCTACTGCTATATTACATTTCCTTTAACAGCTATCCTCCAGACAGTGTTTTTTTAAAATTCTTCTTTTTAATTTTTCAGTTAAATTTACTGCTGAAAACAACCATGTAGTAGTTGCTTTTATAGCACAGAAATCATCACTCCGGTTTTTACCATCGTCAGTTTAACTGTGATAGGTGCTACTTGGCAAAGGCTTTCTTTTTTGTAAAAAAATAATATACGATTTTAGCAATAGTAAAGCAAAACAGCAATCATTTTGTTTCTTCGTCAAAATTTATTGCTACCAAAGCAACTTATTACTTAAAAGCTAGCTAAATTTTCTTAAAACTATCTGCCTGTTGGTAGACTATTGGCTTACTCGTCTTTCTGTGAACAGCAGCAAATAAAACAGCGATGTCTCTTTTTCGTTTGACCGGTCCTGTTGATCCGTTGTAAACCTTCTTCCATTTTTCGTTCATCCAACATACTTCCACTCATCCGTTGTCTAAAAATTCAATAAGCATTTATATATTCAGCGCTTTTTATATAATGATCAAAAAAAACAGCAAAATTCTAAATTTTTTTAAATAGCAGTTTAATTATTTGCATTAAGTTTTTGTTAGAAGTGATTGTTGTAAAAAGAAAACAAATTAGTTTTTGCAAAGCAGGTAAAAAATTGTTGACTTTTCAGTTTTTTCTTTATCGTTTCCATTCAACCATGATCCTCCAGCATTTCTTGAACTCCTAAAATTCTTACACATTATCAGCAACTGTTTGTTCTTTGCCTTTTTACTTTCAGCGAAATAATACAGCAACTGATTAGCTCAATTTGTACGATAAGTTAGAGGAAAAATGCTGTTTGTTATTATAACTCTGATCAGTTTGCAAGGTGAAGGAAAAGGTTTGTAGGCAATTTTGTGTATTTGTGAAGGACCAAAAGCAACAGTGTTGGTATAGCACTATTTGATCTTTGTCATCAAAAAATACTCCCAAGAAATGTTTTAGGTTATCAGTTGACACCTTTCCCCAAGTATCTTTGTTTCAAAATTGATAAATCGCATTATCCTATCTTTGACTTAGCAATCCTATCTTTGACTTAGCAAAACTGTAAATTTAATGATTAGGTGTTAAAAAGGTAATAGTTGTTGAAAGCAGAAAAAAAAGTAAAAAAGAATAAAAAAATTTTAAAAGTTTCAAAAAAGTAAAAAATAATAATAAGAGACAGTTTTGACTAGATTAATTATTGCAAAAGTGTCATTTATTCAACATGAAAAATCATAGAAGAATTTAACTGATTACGCTGTGCTTTGTGATTTTGACATTTATTTTTTTATATTTATTCGTCAAAGTAAAAAAAAAAAGATTTTAGCAACCTAAAACAAGAAACGTTCTACTTAAAAAACCTACTGATAGAGCAGTTGCTATATACCATTGCTACGCCAAATGCTGACATCATTTGAAGAAAGCGAAGGGAAAAGGCAAGGAATAGGAAGGAGGGAGTGGGAGAAGGAAGGCGAGAAGGAAGGGAAGGAGTCAAAAAAAACAGCATTTTATAAGAGCTTTTTGAAAATGTATGCATCTAAATAATAAACCGATATTTCCTCTACACCAAGGCCTAAGAAAACAAAAAGTTCAAACGTTAATGTACTCGTCCAGTATGCAAGTCCAAACATGATAACCATTAGCAGAAATCCGATCGGTATCACAGCAGTATTCATAAATTCGGTGATTGCATCAAATCGTGGATATCGTTCATATTCAACGATATACATCTGCATACGGCTCTCAAGATCATGCAAATTTTGGCTGAATACATCTAGAATTATAAAAACGTAAGATTTATTGATCAAACGTTTCTTTTTCGTGTTTATGTGTGTAGTACCGAAAAGATGAGCGGATAAAGATGTATGTAAAAATTAATATTTATATTTATTGTAAACAATTTTTCAACTTACTGAAAATCACTGCTTTTGGAAGCAAAGGCCGTTGTTGTTCGTCAGGCAATAAAACATTGCCAGGTAATATTACCACAAAACGAATTCTTACACCATTGTATTCTCGTCGAGGATATCCCTCTAGTACCATAATATCTCCAGGATTAAAAGCAACACTAAAAAGTGATTAATAGTAAGCAGCAATTCTGTTTGCAAAAACAACCTTATTATCGTTGAAATTAAGGTTAGAAGCCTTAAAAATAAAAACTATTACATGCAACAGATAATTTGAAACCAAAAAACCGTAACATGTCATATATGATTATTTTTGATGATCTTTTAATCAAACAACTGTTTAGATGTTCTGTTTTCTTGTGCGCATAATACGTTAAACTACAGAATGATTTATATGGAGTAATAAAAAAACTAATTTGCTGTATTTTTCAGCTTTAAAATAAAACAAATTTTATCATCTTTGCTTTAAAATACGATTATAATTCTGCGATATTCAGCTATAGTTCTAGAAACAATAAATAAAAACTAATTGTGATCAACATGTGACTGGATTGTACCGTAGATCATTAGAAGTGAAGCACTGCTTTTAGCACAACTACTGCTTGAAATTTTAAAAGTAAAATAGTCTTGCTTACTGAAAGCTCAACTGCATAACTTTTTTTAAGGTTTTACAAAAAACTTTGATAATCAGAACTATCATCTTGCTGAAAATAAGTTAGCTTCAAACCTAAACGAAAAGAAATTTTTGATTTTTAAAGTGCAAGATCAAATTTATAGCTGTCTTAACTTTTGCAACAATCAGTAATTGGTTAAAATAAATTATTATTTTCCTGTTTAAATATAAAGAAGTGTAAGTTAGTTCTCAACTTTAAAATTACTTTAAAACTGTTGTCAATCGGTACGTTCACTTTGGATGATTGTTGTTGCTGTTCAAAAAAAAGAATTTGAGCTTAGAACATCTGCATTTTGCAGGCCTAATTTAGAGCTGTAGTAAAATAAATTTTAAAATTTGCTAACCGATAAGCTGTATCATTTTTGATCAAAAATTTTTTTCAGTTGAAACCTATCGTTACTTCTACTGTTTTACACTGCTTAACTGTAAAATATGGTATCAAAAAAGTGACTACAACAAAAGTGACTTCTTTCTTTAACAATAGCCATCTTTTAAGTTCTTCAGTAGCAGTAAAAAATAAGCTGGATTATTTGTCGTTGTAATGTTGTTAAAGTTAGTATCTCAAAAATCAAAAAACACTATTGTTGAAAACAATTCCATTATTTGGTGAAGCCCCTCCACGGATAGCCATCGCTCAGCTGAGCTTTACTATGTTAGAAGGTTGCGCATCCATTTAGCCGGTCAGCTCCACACGCACTAAACAGATTTCGCTAAAAGTTTTGACCTTTTAAACATTACTTTAGTCGCTTATTTCTGGGGTCACACTTATTTGGTACAAAGAATTTTTTTGTCAAAAGATTAAACGGCTGAACTGCTTCATAAATTAGGTTTTTTTTTGCAGTCTACTAACAAACTCTGACATATAATACTCTAATCTAAAAAAAACCATCAGTCTTCCACTCTGCAACGGTCAAGTTCAACATTTTTTTGCAATGTTTTCTTTGGTAAAATACTTTTTTACTCATTTTTACTAAATGCAATTGTCAACCAGCAGTCAACCAAAGAAATAATAATTGGTTTAAAAATTCTGCAGGTATTTTTTAGTATTTTATCTTCAAAAAAAAATTTTTTTTTCAACCTATTAATATGAGAAGAGAATTATGAAAAAAAAAGAAGGAAAAAAAGCGACGTTTATAAATTACAGGCTTTGCATAAACTGCCGCTTGTAATGGATGACTGAATAAAGTCAGCCAACCATACAATTATGACTTTCCAAGATGTGATTTTTCATCTCGGCTTAGATAAACTATTTAGAACTAACTAGCATGCTCACTCAGCTAGTTTGATGTTTGAGACTTTTCAAAAAGAAAATAAAAAAGTGTAAAACAGTCATATCAATCTTGCAAACCACACCAAACAGCGCGAAAGACTTCCTTAGTGTGCTAAAGCCAAAAGAAGAATGTCCTTAAGTTACCAAGAAACGTATGCGTTTTTTCTTTTTGCCTTATGAACCATTCTGCCAAATGACCACGATACTACTTGCATGCCAACCAACGAACCACTACCGCCATGCACAGTTGCCCACGCCAGAAACGTCCAGTTGGATCAGCTGAGCTATCTCAGCTTCTACAGCCGGTCTCAGGGCGGGTGACAACCCAGATTCCTGAAGAACTCAGGCCTTGCTGTCTACACATACCCGCAATATACACTCAAGAGGCACGACTGTTCAGCGAATGGACTAACACTTATCATCACGTCCAACTGCATGCCTCCTTCTCTATAGACAGATTAATGAACCGTGCATTCATTGACAGACGGGTTTGCTGCGGTGAGCAGAGAAAGCATAGCAATTTTATTTGTATCGGTACGAGGTGAAATTGATTCACCCACTGCGTCGGCACGGTGTTTTATCAAAAAAGTTTCACAAAG